TGACAGACTTTACAAGGATTGTTCTTCCAGCAAATGATAGGTTCTTAACTTTCCATCTAGATAACTTGATAGACATATTCTCAATGATATCCTTAGTGTGGAGATTGTTAATTCTTTTATGAAGGATAGGGGTTTCTAGGTACTTACCTAAGTCATTGGTTAATGATATGCCACATTGATAACTCAAAGGAAGGGCTTCTCTTCGGGAGATGTTAGGGGAGACATACATTTTTGACTTTTGAAAGTTGATTTTTTGGCCAGATATTTCACAAAACTCAGAGAGATCATCCATGATACAATCACAGTTATTTCTGTTCGACAAAAACAATGAAGTCATCTACAAAAAAAGATGGGAGATAGGTATACTATTTTTGGAAGCTTTAAGGCCTTTCCAATCTCCACTTTCAGTTATGAGATTAATCATATTGGATAGATTTTCCATGCAAAGAGCAAATAAATATGGGGACAGAGGATCTCCATTGGAGAGGGCCTCTCCATTCCAAAGAATAGCAGAACTGACATTAGAGACACAATTCATAACAATAATATTGATCTAGCCAGAGTCAAACTTAAACTCCTTTAGAGTGTTAAGAATAAAATTTCAAAAAATGCGATCATAAGCTTTTTCAAGATCAATTTTTATAACCATACCACCAGTTTTATCTTTCTTATTTCTGAGAGTGTGAATGATCTCTTGGGTTATGATTATGTTATCAGTAATTGTTCTACCATGAATAAAGCTACTCTTATTGGGATTAATGAGGTCAAGTAGGAGAGGTCTGACGCGGTTGACAATAATTTTGGTGATGGTTTTATAAATGACATTGTATAGGCTTATGGGTTGAAATTGTTTAATGGATTCAGGGTTTTTCAGTTTGGGGATAAGAACAATCAGGGTCTCGTTAACCTCCTTGGGGATGGTTTTGGTACGAAAGCAATTTTTAATGAAATTGCAAACAGAAGGGCCAACAGTGTTCCAATGGTTGTGGTAAAATACAGCTTGAATACCATATTTTCCAGGAGCTTTATAAGCTTTTATGTTTTTAATGGCATTCCAAATCTCAGAATTGCTTATAGGGGCTATAAGTCTATCATTGTCTTCCCTAGTGATGGTAACTTTTGCAATATAGTTCCAATTATTTAGGCTAATAGGCTCTTCATCTTTGAACATTTTGTTAAAATGGTCATTGATGTGACTTTTGAGAATTTCAGTACTAGATATCCAATTTCCACCCTCATCTTTTAGAACATTTATTTTCAATTTCCTATGTTTGGTGAAGGTAGATATATGATAGAATCTAGTGTTTTTATCACCAAAGGTAAGCCACTTAGCTCTAGATTTCTGAAACCAAAGCACTTCTTGAAAAAAAGGGTTGCATTATATTGATTGAGGAGATCTTTCTCAAGCAAGAAAAGGTTGTGGGAATAAGCCTGGGCTTGAGATTTTTGAATTCTTTCAATGCGGACAAGCATTCTTTTTCTTTTAAAAATGTTTTCAAAAACTTCTTTATTCAAAGTTTTTACATTATGCATGAAGACATTAATAGCATCAATAAGTTTATGTTCTATATTCCACCAAGATTTTTTAACATCAATCAAATTGGACTGATATAGCCAAGTTGTTTCAAATCTAAAAGGTCTATTTAAGGGATTAAGAGGGTGCATACCTTGAGTGAAGATTGCTACTGGGAAGTGGGTCGGAATAGGTTCTTGGTAAAGTCCTCATTGTTCCTTCAGGAAATAAGGCCCTCAATTTGTCATTGCTCATGGCTCTGTCTAGGCTTTCCATGGTATTTGCTAGTGTTTGTCTGTTGTTGGTCCAGGTGAGTCTAGGCCCCACACTTCCAAGATCCATGAGATTGCAGTTATTTATTTGATTTGAGAATTTTTGGGATCTGTTGTGGTTATGATATCATTAAAATCCCCAGCTACCAACCATGGTTTGTCCATAATACTTGCAGTGTCTTCAAGGTTATCCCATAAGTCTTCTCTGGTTGAGGGGTTGGGACTAGCATACACTGCTGAGAGACCCAATCTTCGTAATCTTCTTATGTATTGTGGCTTGTATGACTTGATTGTTGATGACTGATGCTCAAACATTAACTTGATCGGTGTCCCAAAGAAGCCAAATTCCTCCAGTTCTCTCCACAGGATCCAAGATTGTAGCAGCAGGATACCCTAAATTGTTAAAAAAGTTGCCCATAGAACTGAAGGGGATTTTGGTTCCGTCAGAATGATAACTCCAAGCTTATAGTTGCAGATTAACCCTTTCATATTTTGCTTGAAAGCATTATTGCCAGCCCCATGGCAGGTGTAGAATAGGATGTTGAAAGACTCCATATCAGGATATGAGGGGGATATAAGGGGGATATGAGGGTAGTGGGTCAGTATCCATACTTGTAAGTGTGCTACGAATCCTTCTATGATCTTGATCAATTGATCTCATAGGTGCCATCCGAAGCAAATGAGCTGGGGGCCCTGGTTTAGAGCTCTAGCTTGGTTTGATTCTCAATCTTATCTGCTCTATCCACCAGACCATAGTGACGCAGTGAATTGCTTCAATCCCTTGTTCTAACAACAAGCGCGTCGGGTGATTCTCCATCTTGTGAATTGATACTTTGGGTAGTGGTCTCTCTTCGTTCTTTACTAGTGGTTCCAGGATCTAGGGGTTTGGGTTTTCTTGTTGCTCAATCTTTCTATGCTTGAGCTAGTTCTAGGTTAAGGTAATTAGTATTTTGAGGGGTTAAAGCATCTACAGTCATCTTTTCAATTGGGATTGCACTGGATTCGATAGTGCTTCCCAAGGTGCTAAGGTTTGCAGAGGTTAGTATATGTGTCAATTCGCTATTGATTTCTTGGGATATTGTGTCCTTTTGAATATGAATCTATTCACTCCTTTTGTTTTCACTATGGCATGGTGGATCATAGGAAAGAACTGTGCAAGTACCAGCCAACAAATTCAAATGCTCAGGAAAATCAACGGAACTAATGACTGCCGGACGGGAGACTAGTCGGAGTTTCAAGAAGCAATGACAAAGCTTAAACAGTCAATTTGTCAGGCAACAGAAACCTGCAACAGCCTGAGGTAGATGATGAAACCTATGGGCCATGTATGATGGTGACAAAGAAAAATTGAAGGCCTAATATTATGAAAAAGGCCCAAATTAGTGGACCAAGCCCAAGCAACAATAGATACACTGGGTTAAACAACCCAATTGACTAAGAGGAAGAACAAGGCAGAGGCAAGAAAACCACTCGTATGGGAGTAGAGAAGGAACCACACAACTTCATTCCTAAACCATCTTTCGGACCTGCAACAACCCAACATGTACAAAAGCCCACTACCAATACAAATATAAAACCTAATATTCAGAAAGGACAAACCAACCCAAAGATTCCCAATGGGTCCCAACCCCAAGTAAAGGAAAATTTGGCTATAAACCCCCTTTACCCTCCTTTCATTGTTAAAAGGAGTAAGAAAAAAATTATACTTTCTAAACCCCCTCATAATTATAAAGTCTTGCATAAAGGATAAAATTTATTATTTAAATATTTTATTAGACTATTATACCCTTAACTAAATTGTCCCACCTTCTCCACCCACTCTCTCCCCACCTTCTCTGTCTCTCTCCTTCCTCTCTCCCTTCTCTAACTCTTTCAAGCTTCAGATCTAGAAGCTCAGCTATCGCCTCTGGAACTCCTACGTTGACCTCGCCAATGCCGCCGGCGTCCGATCCTCTTCCGCCGCTCCCTCCAGCGAACACGCCAAGCTCCGCCACGTCTCCGTTGATTTGCTCTTCCTATGTATATGTGTATGTATGTATTTATATATATGTGTGTGAAGCGGAGGAGTTTGGAGTGGAGGCGATACCGACGTTCGTGTTGCTGAAGCAAGGGAAGGAGGTCGATAGATTCGTCGGGGCCAAGAAGGATGAGCACCAGATATTTTTTTTAAACACAGATATGAGTTTTGAATATATATATGTATATATATATATATATATATGTGTGTGTGTGTGTGTGTGTATAAGTGTTGTTGAAGACATGTATTCTTTGAAATCAAAAGATAGAGAGATATTTGGATGTGTTCTTTGAAATAGTCACCTCAATTAGATTATGATTATGTTGATATTTTGATGTTTTTGTTTAATTTTTGATCTGTGTGTTTTGTGGTTATATATCCTTGTAATATAGATTTGTGTTTTTACTAGTTTTTGAATTGATCTGTTCATACTCAGCTTGTTCAATGGATGATCGATCTATCAAAATGAATGATCTATTCAATTTCTCTCTCTTTCTCTCTCTCTGATAAGAATCTCTCTAATAAGAATTTCACACAGAAATTTTACTAATCAGAGTAAAATTTACTTTGAATCAAAGTAAAATTTTACTCTGGTTAAAAAATATTGATTTGCTTAAAAATATGAATTTTTATTTTGAATCATAGTAAACTTTACTCTGATTCAGAGTAAAGTTTACCATGATTCAAAGTAAAACTTTACTCTGAAATTTTACTTTGGTTAAAAAACATGTTGATTTTCTCAGCAACCAAACTATATTTGATTTTTTTGTTATGTTTATGTGATTTTCTCAGCAACCAAACACACATTTTACTTTCATACAGAGTAAAATTTTACTTTTAGTTTCAGAATGTAAAATTTTACTTTTATACAGAGTAAAATTTTACTTTCATACAGAGTAAAATTTTACTTTTAGTTTTAGAATGTAAAATTTTATTTTTATACAGAGTAAAGTTTTACTTTTATACAGAGTAAAATTTTACTCTGAAATATATAGTGAAGATGACTTAATAGGAGAGCTGATAGATATGAGGGTAATATAGTAAAAGAAATAAGTTTTAAAATATTAGGGGGTTTTGAAAGTACTTATATAATTCTTGTCATTTTAAAAGATAAATTAGATAGTAAGGGAGCTATTACCAAATTCCCCCCAAGTAAATCCCTAAGAAGAGAACGAGACTCGAAACCAAGAGACACTACAGGAAATATAGAATTTAACGGCGTTTATTTAGCGACGTTTTTTTAAACACCACTGTTTCTAACCTTTAACGACGTTTTTTAAACGTCACATTTTATTTTGATTAAAACGGTACCGTTTAAGGAATACAAGTCGTTTTTTAAACGTCTTCACATGTATTACAATAACGTTATTCCTCCGTGTTTCTCTTAGCTCTGTGAGAATCAGAGCCGTTCTCTCACTCTCTTCAAGCCCTCACTAATCCCTCAAATCTCTCACTCACTCACTCACTCACTCGATCGATCGCTCTCTCTCTCTCTCTCTCTCTCTAAACCCTTGAGTCTCAGAGATTAAGATTCAACCTTATTCAGCTAGGTTTCATCTCAGATCCAATCTCAGAGTGTTTTCGATTTCGAAGTTCTCTCTCTCTCGATTTCGAAGCTCGACCGCCGCCACCATCACCACCACCGTTGACTAAGGTGAGCACCACCGTCTATAATCTCAATTTCGTATGCTCTCTCTCTCTCTCAAGCTTTTCCTTCCCTCGATTCTTCTCCTAGGGTTTACATAAGTTTTAGATTTCAGATCTGAGATTTCTCGTATGTTTCAGATCTGAGATTTCTCGTATGTTTCAGATCTGAGATTTCTCATTCAAAATAATGTTTGAGATTTGAAATTTCTTATTCAAAAAAACATGTTTCAACATTTGAATGTTAGCTTCTTCTTTTTTTGTGTGACAATCTTCTTGTAATCAGCCTAAGCCCTCTCTATGATTGGGGGGGGGGGGGGTTTGCAATGTATATTTCAAGCTACAAAATATAGTTAATATGCCCCTTCTGGAGTGTTTTAATCTCTTGTACTCATGATTTATTGCACAAACAGGCTTCGCTTGATCAATCTCTACCTTTCCAGGGAAACGGTGCTATTGCACTTCTTCTTGGTGCTTTCTACTTGCTCAGTGGATGCTACTCACTGCACTTGGGTCACTTCAGAGGCATATTCATCTCCCTCAATTGTCTTAGCTGCAAGGGGTGCACATGGTAACAGGGTCATTTTTTATGATTACCGCGAAGCATACTTCTGGCTTTGGCAGAATACTCCTCCAGATGCTAAGGTGATGTCCTGGTGGGATTAAGGATTTGACCGTTTGCTGAAAAATAGCTTAAAGAAATTGTATTCTAATCTTGTTATATATCTTTTTTTGAACCAAACCTTCTTTTTATAGTGATAAAAACACTGAATGGTTCTGTTTTTTTTTTTAAAAAAATAGTTTTTTTTTTAATTTTAATTTAATAATTTAACTTTTAGATGCAAAAGCTATGCCATGTAATATTATATTGGTAACTATTGCTGATTACGGCTGCATTCCCTTCTCCCTGTCTCCCTTATTGCTTGGTATGGTGAAGTGTTTCCATATAAATCAACAGATGGTATAAAATTTGATCCGTTTGCAGAGTATCAAATAAGTACGAGACCTGCCTGTAGTATATAGGTTGTAGAGTATTTGCAAATAAGATGCAAGACCATCTGATGCTTCTTCTGGATAAGCTGGCTGCTTATTAGGGTCATAACAATAGTCCACTTATGGTGACTGGATCATCATACATTTGTCATTTGCCCCTGGGCCACTTAATTGAGGCGAGTAAGGAGGCTATCCTAACTACAAACACAATAATTTCTGGACATCTTACATTTCTATTTGCAAATAAGATTGTAATTGGTTTTTTTGGTTCATAGCCACACCTTTCTTATACTCTGAAACCCTGTCAAACTTAAATTAATATACTAGACATCTTACATTTCTATCTGCTACCGAATTGTGATACTGATTGTCATGTATATACTCATTTGGGTCTTGTTAACTAGTTATTTCTGCTGGATGATATTGCTAAACTTTGTCTATTCTCCTGTGTGTTGTGGTTGCGCATTTCATTAGATTTAATCTTTCTCTTAATAATGCCTGTAAGTAGTGAAGAGATGCGATGCTGTAACGGTAGATGGAAGTGTTAGGGGACGGGGTAGGCCTAGATTAACGTTGACTAGCGTTATAAATAGAGATATGAATCTACTTAATTTGACTAATGAAATGGCCTTTGATAGGGCCGCGTGGAGAAGAAGGATTCATGTAGCCGACCCCATTTGATGGGACTTAAGGCTTGGTTTGGTTTGGTTTAGTTTGGTTTGGTTATTAATTTAGTTCAATTGATTACAACTCTTAACATTTTTTTTTATGAAAAATACGCATAGATATGTCATGTGTCATATTTTTTAGGCAAAATTATAAACTTCTTTAACTCAATGAATTAATTTCAATCAATTTAGTAATAATTTTTTAAAAAAACACCAACAATATTATTAATTGGATCAAATTGATACAAAATTTAAAATTAAAAGTCAAAATTATACCAATTAAAAATATAAAAATCAAAATAACACAACATATAAAATGTGCGAACTACCAATATAATTTACTAAGATTTAACCCATCATTTAAGGTCATTGTATTGTACTACTTATCATATGACTAGGAAAGATGCCCCTATTTGCACCGCATCTTATTTATTATTAATGAGTTTTATTAAATTTTAAAATATTATTGGAAAACAATATATTATTTATCTTTTTAAGCAAATTATTGATATCACTAATTTATAAAATTTGAATCCTTAGTAAATAGTTAAAATGAAAATTTTAAAGGTCTTTGTATATTTAATTATGAAGTTAGTTTTATTTTATTTTATTTGAATCTTGAAATTGAATAGGACTTTGTAAAAGGAGAATAAAAATATGAGAAAAAAATAATTTATGTTTCATTCTAATTTCACTCCACAAGTCTCTCTCTAAATCAATTTTCTAAACAAAATTTTAAGATACAATCATGTTTGGTTCCACTTTTTTGAATTATTTTTTCAAACAGTGATTTGAAAACTTTATTTTGAAAAGAGATCTTTGCTTGGTTTTCAAAAAAATGCATTATTGTAAATTTAAGTTTCCCTCCAATTTAAGGAGAGAGACAATTTAAAAAAAAAAATAAATTGTCACATAAAAAAAAAGGGTGTTTTTTCAGTAAATCCATTATCTAAGAGTGTTATTCCATAAGACCCATAGTGTTTTATAATATTCCATTAGGTCCATTTCATACTAAAAGACCAAAAAAACCCTCAAACAAACACGCGCCTATCCTTTCTTTGAATCTAATAACCGTCTCTCTTCCCCTCTCTTCTTGTAGGAAATCACGCACAGTATTTTCACCATTCCAAAAATCCAAAGCCGTATTCCATATCGTCTCAATGTCCAGAAGACTGTCTTTGTTCCATTATCGCATCGTCTCATCATCTTCTTCATCATCTTCTTCGTCATCCCTACGTCGTCGGTCGTCGAAATCGTGGAATCACCATTGTTAAACATTCGTAAGGTCTATCTTCGTCAAAATCACCTTCGACGACAATTTGTGACAACGTAACCGTCGAAATGGGCAAAAACGTTTAAACCCTAAATCTCTTTTTCAACAAACAACATTGTGAACTTTCACAAATATCCCCTGTTTCTATTCATACAATATATAGGAGTCCATATTGTTCATACTCTAACCTTTAATCTGAATCCCTCAATCGTAATCCCTAATTATATGAATTTTTTTCAATCAAAAACATTACAATTGCCATTATGTTGTGTTCACAACTGTGAACATTCAAATGGTTTGGTAGAATGTTGGCCAAACCAAATTGTTTTTGCTGCTGTTGTTGTTGTTGTTGAAAGCTCTGAACATTCACATGGATTGAAAATGTTTGGATAATCAAATTATTTCAGATATTATTGTTGTTGTTGTTGAAAGCTGTGAACATTCACATGGATTGAAAATGTTTAGCCAATCATTATTTTGTAATATTGTAGATTTTTTTTCCCTCTTTTGTGAATGTTTGCCTTGTTGATATTGTTGATTGTTAATTGTGATTCAATAAGTTGAACCTTCAATTCTTGATTATTTTACATGAAAGTGGCATGAAATACAGTCCCTGCAAATATTGACACTATCCTTCCCCCTTCTATCAAATTGTTGTTATTAATCGTAGTGAACATTCACATTTAAAATTCCTTGTGTTAGATGTTGTTGTGACACATAATTATGTTGTGAACATTCATTACATGTGTAAATTAATTAGACACTTTGTGAATGTTAACCACTGTCTTTAGAGGAAATATATCACTTTTGTTATCCCATGTTTCAGATTGTATTTCAATTTTGAGGTTGTATTATAAGATTGGCATTGCATGATTGTAGTAAGAATGTGCATTGCCATACAAATTAGGACTGTAAATGTTCACAACATCTTTTTATATGTTTGTGTTAACATCCACATGTTCTTGAATGTTGTTCATGGTTGTATAAACATATATTGATTTTTACACACTCACACAATATGCACATTGTGTTTGTGCTGATACAGTCAACATACACATTCATGTACAGATGTAGATATTCACATCCATACACAAAATTGTGGTCATTCACACCCATGAACACAACTGTGAACATTCATATCAGTGGCGAAGCTGTGAATGCTCACATCTATTCCACTATGCTAATCACATGAGCCTTGACTTATTTTTTTTTAAATTCTCCATTTTGCAGATCTTGCACAGAAGAAAACCTCAAAGAGAAAAAGAGACGAGTACCATGTCAAGGAAAAAAGCCCACAAGCAAATATTAGTAGCAATGTTGACATGCGGCGTGTCAACTACAGATCTAACATGACCGGACTGATGAAATTAATGAAAAGCACCAAATTCACACAAGCATAGCCTAGTTGCCTGCGGCAAACACCTTTTTGGCATTTATTAGATGCATTGAGAAACAGTGAGATCGACCTTGACAAATGCATGAAGTACAATGATGTTGTTGTGCATGTCTTACAAATGTACAAAGCTTCAAAAGATGCCTTCTACATTGGGGAAAAGAAGATAAACATACACGACAACGGCATCAAGCTGATTTTTGGTGTTAACTGTGGCACAAAGACAATGGACATATCATATGGTGCGAAACCAAAGACTGGCATTATAAACAAAAGGTGCAAAAATGTTAGCTGACTGACTTCAAAATGGATATGCACCCTTTGACCGAGACATTGAAAGGCAAAAAGAAAGATGACAACGAAGAAGTCGCCTAACTAGTCTGTATGTATGCTTGCCAAAAACTTTTTTTCTCAACAAGCGATGAGACAATAGGATGGGGCTACTGCGCACATATGGTCCCATTGGAAAGCATGCAAGAATATGATTAGGCCAAGCAAATTAGAACAACGTTGACATCCTCAATTTCCCAAAACGACAAAAAGCCGGCAAAAGTCACCGATTGTGTCATGTTATTGATGGTAAGTACCCATGTTCTCAAATAATAACATTCACATGTCCTTCAGTGTTGTTCATCTATGCCAACTGTGAACATTCACACATGTACTATTGATGTGAATGTCCATATGCTATTATTTTTAACAGATGTGAATCTTCACATCTACACCACTGATGTAAATGTTCATATGATATACTAATGTGAATGTTTACAACAGTACCACTATTATTAATGTTCACATATGTTGACATTACTATGCAAATGCTAAATAACATATGTCTTTGTTGTTTTGTTGAAGTATTGATTGTGTGAGCACACAACCCTCCAACAACCTCACAAGCCTAATGCCATTCCTCGCTGTGTCAAGTGGGATCTGACTGCTTTACAAAAAAAGATGAAAACCACCTTTTTGGCTGATATTGGTTTTAATGAGGTATGACCTTCAACTATTGATCAAAACATTCACATTATAATACCACCTAAATATATACGTTAAATAACATTAATTTTTCATTTCAGGTTAATGTTGGCGAACTCTTTGCAACCCCAACAGAATTACAAAAGTTCAGGCGTACAACATTAAAGGTGAAGCCCGAAATTTATGAACCAGCCACCACTTCTCCCAACCTCTCTAACATCAAGGAAGAAAAACATAATGGTAGCAACTCCCAATTTTCTGGGGATGGAGTTGAGCTAAATGACAGTAATTAGGACATTCACATTCCATTTAGTAGCCCACATGATGAGAGAGCTATTGTCATAGCAAACATAAGCCAACCCGATATCATTGATGTGCTTGTCAAAGAAAATCGGAAGGCTTCGGGCATCATAAGGCAATAGGAAGCAAATTACAAACACCTTCAATTCTCATAGGAGTTAAGGGCAACAGTCATAGCTGATCTT